CGGGATGCTTTAAAAAGGTGGAGCAAAGTGAGGGTCCAGAATTGCAAACCTCGTATCCATGAACTGATGAAGGAACTCACTATAAGATTCAGTCAAATCATACTAGTGGGACCTTGTTATTAGTCAAATAAGGATGAAGTCTGAGCGGGAGAATTTGTGGGAAAAGGAGGAAATGTATTAGAGTCAGCGCTAGGGTCAAATGGTTAAAGGAAGGGGATGCAAATACAAAAAAAATTCACCTCTCCACTATTCAAAGGAGGCAACGTAATTGCATCCCGAAGTTGAAAAGTGAGTATGGTAGTTGGGTAAGTGGCCAAAGATTGCTAAGTAATGAATTCCAAAACTTCTATTGCAACTTGTTTACCTTGAAAGGTAATCGAGATTGGGGTAACGTGCTTGTTTGTGTTTCTCCTATGCACGGGGGCTATGAACCAAGCCTTAACAGCCCCTTTCACAGAGGAGGAAATGGCAAGATGTTTGCTTAAACCCAAGAAGTCAGTCATCATGGTTTGGAGGGTATGGTAACTCCTTTATATTGTGCTGATCCAGATGGTAGATCATCAAAGAGCAGTTGCATAATAGTCGAAATTGGAAGGTTCTAAATTAACAGAACTAGTGTTGATGTACGCTCTGGTGCCTTATATCAGGGCGTTTTCTCATAGTTTTTCTGCAAATATAACATGAAGGAGATTCGTGGAAAGACCAAAGCTAACTAATTGTACAATAAGAACATCAGCGTCTTCCCGTACTTATGGGTTTTGGTGTCTGCGGCTCCAACATCGTTTTGGCAGGCGGCATTGAACCAGAATTCGATGGATGCGGCAATTTTATTTTGAGGATCACAATAAGTTGAAAAACATGGATCATATACGAAATAAAAACACTTTCACGTTCGGGCTGACGTCCTCTCCAATTTCCTTGTTTAGAAGATCAAGCCCCTATCCCACTCCCTAAACCCTTTGACTCTTTCATTCGGGACGGAACAATGGCAGCGAAGAAAATTGAGAAACAGCCAATCAATCTTCCAATTTCTTCAATTTATGAAAAATTCGCTCAACTATTTTACCTTTCACTTATATCACTTAAAGCACCATGCCCGCCACCGCCTATTCAAAACTTTTTCTCTTGTTTTATTTATATGGTGGACAATACATAATTAATTACATCAATGTTGATAATATAACACAGAAAGACAGAATGATAAAACAAATATTAAAGCTAGGGGGACTAAACAGTTACATCAATGTCTGACTGAAGCCTCCCATGCAACTTTGCTTCAGGCACTCCATCCTCGATGACGAAGCCGCTTGTTATGATAACAGACTGCTTTTTTTCAAATAAAGCAATGCTGGTTACCAATCTCACCTTCTCAATACTACATTCGGAATGATGTCATTTTGACCTCAAATTGCAGTGATATTGCATTGTTGATCACTACAAATTCTTTTTTTTTTTTCCTTCATAAAACTATGAAAAGAAACCTGATATTTCCACAGTATCTATAGAAAATGATTCTCATTTAGAATAAAATAGAAAGGAAAATCAAAGCATTGGAAACATTTAAAAGTAGGTGTACCAAAGCATCCTTAAACAAGGTCACGCTGGTGAATGTTATAAAATAACTTATATAATAGTATGCTGGAGATATGACGGCGTTAATGGTGCCCAGAGCCTGCAAAAATGCATCAGCAATATGGAACACGCATTCACCTGATAATGATATTGAGAGAGACAATAAAGAGTGAAATGAATGCATGACATCAAACACTAAATGAGTGTTTTTCCTCAGGACTCAAACTGCAAGAGTTCCTATACAATATAGGTTTAAGTTCAAGGTGACAATTCTTGCACACAGTCTTCAGAATGAAAACTAATACCAAAATCGATTGAATGAAAAAACAAGGTAAAAGATCAGAGTATTCTTATAATTTACATCTTAGAGTCTCCATAGAAAGCAAATGAAGTTTCACATTTTGTAACGTAAGCCAAAAAAAGCGTCTCAAAGCACTTAAATTACTTCATTCCTCACACAAAATCATTATCGAAGCATTTGAGAGACATTTACCTATTCGATTGTTTAGCAAAACTATATCAAATTCCATAGCTACAAAAGAGAAAAACCAAACTTGAAAGGAATAAATAGTGAGTAAAGAAACTTACAGCCAAAAAGCACCATGCATGGATACTTTAGTTGCCTTTGGATTGTTCGCACCGAGTAGAAAATATTGAACACTACAAGACCCTGTTTTGATGGTTACCAAGTCTCTACTGTCAGAAAGTTCAAATTCGAAACGTATCATAAAAATCGGCATCTTCCTCAGAATGTATCATGACCTCCTAGATGGAGGATCCTATAATCTATTTCACGCGTTTTAGCAGTAAATAGATCACGAAACCTAGGCAATAGTTCACGCCTTGGTTGAGTAGGTAACAGATCATCAGGCAGGCACAAAGGTTGAAGCCGTGTGAGTGATGTAATGTCACTTGACATGAGATACGCGGGCAAAGATGTACGCTGCCATTCAAAATGATGATGAGGCCGAGGAGGATAATCACCCACACCAGAAGGGTAGAAGCAGTCATCCTCGTTGCAACAGCGGTAGGTGTTGTCTTCGAATTCATCAGCCTCTTTACACAATTCTGGGTAACACGTGAAAATCAACCAATTCCCGTCATTCATTTTCACAACTAAACTTTGTTCGTCGAAGTCGAATGGCAATCTAATGCAGTTTGTAAAAGAGTGCTCTTTCCATTTTTGACTGGTGTCAGCCATGTCAAAGCGGAAGATACTAGACAAACTTGACACAAAGATATTAGTGCCTACAACAACACAATTGGTGCTGCTTCCAAGGTAGCGTTGGTGGAAAATTGGGGGTTCGGGCAAAGTCACTCATTCGTCATTTTTTGGTCTAACATCTCGAACCCAGGAGCGAAGTGTACGCCACATGTTAACATTAAACTTCAGCACGAGAGAACATATAATTTGGAGTCATGCTCCACCACGAGGGGGTAATTCTTCCCTTGTTGAAGGGGACGGTGCCTCATCATAGGGGGTGAATTCATAATGCAGTCCACAATGTTAAACACATAAACATCTCTACACGGATATGGTGTGAAATTGCCGTATCCATCGAAATCCAGTCTAAGGCCGCCTACCAAAAAGATGTTGGGGCCACAGACACCAAAACCCATAACTGCGGGAAGATCCCGATGTGTTATACCCACTATTCTGGATTCTGCCAATGGAAGTATATTGCAATTTTTCCCCAAATAAAAGGCGTGAATACATTAAGAAACCAAAGTGCCCGGATAATACTCGTCGAAACATAAATAAAGGAATTTCTTCTGCTCATGCTCATCCATAATAGACGAACCAGGGCGATCCTTCAGCTCCTCCGTATCTAGCCTAGGTTTTCCGCTTCTTCACACTTCGCCGCCGTGGCAACACACAGCCTCCAATTTTACTCAACCCTAAAATTGTGTGCTTCTATCCATAGGATGAAACTTCTCTATTTGTATAATGCTAGGGATCGATACCAACTGATGTCACATGTGACGTGGCATTCCATATTAGACATACCTACCACCAAACCCTAAAAACATAAAAATTGTAATTAATACAAAAAAATAAGAACCTAATGTATGGATGCAATGCAAGTATAACCAAATGAAACTAACTAATATGAAAAAACATAACCAAACGTATGCATTAAAAAGAACCCTACAAAACTTTCACAGAACCTAATTCCACAGAAACATAAACCCAATGTATGGATGAAAAAAATTAAACTAATTTAGCAATACAAAACCTAACCTACTTTCAAAGAAAATAATTTCATAAAACAAAACATATTCAATTCAATTCAATTCCCAATTCAAAACAAAGCAAAATTTACCATTTGAGTATTACTATTATCAACATCAACCTCCAATTCAATTCAGAACACCCCCAATTCGATAAGCCTAATTTAACATAAATAAAAACCCTAAATCAAATTTAGAAGAATAAACCATAAAATCGGCTATACTCGGTTTTTGTTTGCTAATTTTATTTAAGAATCGTACAGCCGCACGGCTATACTCGGTTTTCCCTAACTTGTTTTTAAAAAATAGTATACCCCTTAAGTAGCATAATATGGATTTGTCTTTTTTAATTACTTTAATAAGTAGTTATGTTTTAGTTATTATCTACTTAGTGAATTATTAGTATTTAAATATTTTATTTAAGAAAAAAATAGAAAATTTTAATTACAATTTATTAAGTAACATAATTCATGAAGTTAATTAAAATATTCAATACTAATTATTCACTAAAGAAATAGTAATTAAAATATAATTACTAATTTAACTAATTAAAGTACTAAAAATAAAATTGAAAAAATTTAATTAACCTAAACATAGTTAGTTTATATTTATTTGGAAAAAAAAAAAAACTTCTCCCGACAAAAGTTCGTCGGCACATGGCTATCCCGACGAAATTTGCCGTATTAGATCTTTCCCAACGAAATGCAGAATAGAATAATACAGAAAGATAAAGAACACTGACTTTATTTTCAGATAGAGGCTTGCGCATTGGCAATGATCTAAAGACAAAATTTCAGCCTTTCTCGAAAATGCAAAGTGAAAAAATATGTCTTATATTTGTACGTTGGAAATCTTGTAAGTGAGTTCCGGGTTATTGGATATTCAGTATTTATAATACTGATTGCACCCTTTCCAACCACAGTAGTTATAAAACCTAATTTCAATGAAATTTGAATTGAAAGGATATGTCTTATCCTTTTTAATTTCAATTCTGTTGTGCAAAAAATGAAAAAATAAAAGGAAAATTAGGTATTAGACATAGATAACTTTACTTATTAGTATTTAAGACATTTGATATTTTGGTTTGGGTTTTAATACCTAGAAAAGAATTGTTATTTTGGATTAGGCCAAAGAGGAAGACCAGATTTGTTGACCCACCTTACATTAGTCATTCAAAAGACAATTATACCCTTTTCATTTAAAAACCTAACCCAAATTTGTTAGTTTCTCAGATCTCTCTCTGTCTCTCTCTCTCCGCGTCTTCTCCCTTTCTCCTCCCCTGTGTTTCGACCGACACCGACAAAACCCCCCAGCCACTGTCCCGTCGGCCACCGGACCGGTCAAGTTTTGACCGGCGTCGCACCCCAAGCCAGCTCCAACCTTCCTCCTACCTCTGCTGCTGCTGTTTTGTAGGAAAACCCCGGTTTTGATCGGATTTTTACTCGGTTTTCCAATCCCTCGATCTCTCTCCTCCGGTCCTCAAATCCTTCGATTGAGGTATGGTTTTCTAGCTAGTTTCCATTGTCTTCTTCATTTTTTTAAATAATTTTTTTGGTTTATTTGCCTCTGTTTGTTTGCAGTCCTATTTTTTTTGGTTTCTTTGCCTCTAATTTTTTTTTTCTACAGAATTTCAGTTGTGTTTATGGTTGGTGTTTTCTATCCTTTCCACATGTTCACCTCACACCTTTTAATGAGATTATCCTTTTCTTTGGCCAGTAATGGCTATTCATAGCTCTGATAAGTAGGGCTCTTAAAGTGTATCTTTGGGTACAGTTATATATGAACCTTCAGGTCCAATTTAATGTCATTTCTTTTAAGTGAAAGTGGCTTCTCAATTGGTCATTTGTTTCTACGAATTGCTTATTAATTTTGTATGTAACCTTCAGGTCAAATTTTGCATGTTTGAATTTTCAAGGCTTTTACACTGCAGTCTTGGAGAAAGATGATGTGTTGATATCTGTAGCATCAATCAGGTAGTACTGAAATGAAGCTGTTTGTAGGGAGTTGATTTTCCAGTTTTCGTATAATTTTTTTTTGTTAGTTGCTCAGTTCTTGTGATATTAATTTCATATCAGACTTCACATCAATAAAAAGATCTATTGTTTAAATCTCCAGCTTGCATCCTTATTATTTAGTCGTTGGTATCTGTTGTCATGGTTTTTTTACTTTTAAAAAAACTGTTCTATTGCAACAATATCTGTCGTTGAAACTGTTCTATTGCAAAAGTTTAATTCTTTGGATTCTTTTAGCATTCAAGAATGCCGTTCGAATATAAAATAATTGGTGGATCACATCATAGGAAAACCTGCTGTACCAAATGGTTTCTCATATCTTTTCTTTTTTCTATGTGGAGAACATTAATTAGGTTGCATTGACATTGACTAGACCTAATGGTTTGGTGGTTTTCAATACTTGGCTTTGACATCTTTGTGCATGCATCACTATCAGTTTGGTACATGTATTTGGCTCTGCATACCCACACTCTGAACTTTTCTTCTGCATTGCAGAAAACAGAAACTGCATTGCAGAAAATGGAAACTGCAATGTAGAAAACGGAATGTGCAATGCAAAAAACAGAAACATGGATAACCTATTTTACATTCTAGATGGTTTTCAGTCTGATTCCCTCTCTCCCAACATGTTTTGAATAAAAAAAAACTATTGTTTTGTTTTGTTTAACTTTAGAGCTGAGCATTTTTGCCCAGGCTCAGCATTTCAGTTTCTATTTTTGTATTGCAGTTTCTCTTTCTGCATCGCAGTTTTTTTTAATTTTTAAAACCGTTGATCGTTTATATAAATATTGTATAATTGAATAAATATTACAAAATCAAGTTTGGTGTAGTGGTTTGTGAGTGAGCCCTCTTCCTTTGAAGGTCAAGGTTCGAGTCCCTTTAATGACACAAAATCTTCTTTTTTTTAAAAAAAGTGAATAAGGGGCAACGAAGTTGGTCCCATGCAGACGGTGGCGGTTGCTGGCTGGCGGGGCTGGAATCCGGCGGTGGTAGGTGGCCGGTGGCGATAGGTGGCCGGCGGTGAAAGGTGGTCGGAGGTGGCCGGCGGTGGGGGTTGGCTGGATGTGGACATGTGGCATAGTATGCTTGCCTTAGAAGGAATGGCATTGTGTGTAATTTTGATATTTTTTAATGATATTTTTGTAAAATTGGGTACTCATTCTGGTCTTTGGCCTTATGCTAATTAGATGAAATTGTATTCCTATCTTCCAAATTAGTAAACTATATTGTGTTTTAAAACTAAAGCTCCCAAAAATAAATTACTTTTTTCTTTTGGGTATTAATTAAATTTCTCCAGAGCCCAAGAGGCAAGAGGCCCAAGGCCCAAGTCTATGGTTAAAATAATTATTATTAAAGAAAGCCAAATCCAAAGCCGAGCCTATAGCCAAGCCCATTAGCCCAGCTCTCAAATGGTAACTGCACTTACCAAACCATCATAGTGCTTTGTTTCGCTCAGAGTCCGACTTGGATGATGACTTTATCAGTATACATGGTGGTATTGGCCATCAGCCTGTAACTACATATTACAGAATGAAAGCCTTGTTGTCTTGTTTGATTGCCAAACGTCATTACTACTGAAGTGATTTTTCTTGAGCTACTTATTGGAAAAGGATTTTGTTTTGTTTTCTTAATTTTCTTCTCTTGTTCTACAGATGGTTTTCCATTAGCAAGCAATCTAGTTGGGAATATCTCAAGTGGCCAAGTACTTCAGTACGAAAGATCTGCTCGCTTTGTTGATAATGGGTGTAAGTATGAAGAATACCAAAGCTATATGAAAATAGATGGAGGTAAATCAGATAAAATCACAGGCAAAGATGAGCGCAGGGAGTCGAATCAGTTTTCGCTTATTAGTACCCAGGGCTATGAGCTTTCTCACTTAGGGAAGGCTGATGAAGTTTGCATTAAGAGGAAGAATATATTATATCACTCTTATGGAAGCTTTAAAGGACTTATTAGTATGGACGTGATTCTAATGAAAACATTCAAGACAATGCCTTGAAATCCGACTTATCTCGATTAGTACCTTCTGTAAGTTTCAACTATAAGATTCTAAGTGCACGGAGTTTGGTTCCGCAGTCCCAGAGAAAGCCGTTTTCAGACTTTCTTTTAAAAGAAGATCCTGTGATGCAGAAGAAACCATTGAACGATGTAAGTATTCAAATAATTCAGTTTCCTTTGAATAGAAAGAAAATTTAGAATATTGGGATTGATGTACATGTATATTACTGAACATTTCAATGATATATCCACAGGTCAATCAAAAAAGGTTTCTGTATCGGCCTAGACCAGGATATATCATTCCATGTTGTAGAGTAGAGAAGCCGACTTCAGGATCTTGCTCTGAGATTCCACCCTCAACTTTTAAATTCCGTGGCGAGAACTATTTCAAGTATGACTTTGGTTTTTTCTTTTGTCAAAACGAAGCTTAACTGAATTTAGACATTTGCAACTAGTTACTCTGTTCTGCCTTGCTAATAATAATATTATTTTCAGTTGGTCCACCATCCAGAGATAACGAAAGCAAACTGCTCTGAACTACAGTCCATATACTCCAATAGGTGTTGAAGTGTTTGTATGCCCAAAAAGATACATCACATTGCCGAGCATCTTGAGCTTCCCAAAGTGAAAGCAAATGAGAAAGTGTTCATTGTAAACATACAGGTATGTTTTCAGAATTTATTTATCTTGTTATGTTTTGTTTATTATGTTTTGGCAATATCTAATGATATTGCTCTGCACCTTGTTGCAGTTGCCTACTTATCATGCTGCAATGTTTCTTGGTAATAGTGATGGAAAGGGGATGAGTCTTGTAATGTTTATTTATGAGAATTTTGATAAAGACTTCTCTCCTCAATTCCAGGACAGCATCAAGGTAACTTCATTTTGTATGCAAATTCATCCATTTGGATAAGCATGTACTTTATCGTACTCTCCCCGATGGAAATGTGATCTTATGATCTAATGGAACACTCAGTCTGGATATATTTGAATGACGCTTTTAGAAAATGGTTGACAATGAGACGGAAAAAGTTAAAGGATTCGCAAAGGACTCCACTGCACCTTTTAGAGAAAGACTAAAGATCTTGGCTGGGATGGTAAATCCTGAGGATCTCGGTCGGAGTTCTGCTGAAAAGAAGCTTGTACATGCATATAATGACAAACCAGTTCTTTCACACCCCCAACACAATTTTGACAAGGTAAACATTGAACATTTATGTTGTTGAGTGTAAAAAAAAAAAACAGAATAGCCGGGCGGCTATACTCTCTTTTAAAATATTCTATTTTACGAGTATACTCTTTAAATATAACAATAAAAATCTGGATTTCTCTGTAGCAAAGCTGAGCCTTGAGATAATGAATCAATTAGACATGGTATGTATTTGCGTGTGTTCCATGTGTATGAGAAGTGAGATAATGACGTTGCTTATCTTTTTAGGTACCCCTTGTTTTATTTCCTAAATATATTTGAATATTATGTTTTGATTATTATTTGATATAAAAAATTAAAAAACAAGGTCCACAAAATAATTAATTACTATTTATGAAGTAATTTATGAAATTATTTAAATATTTAAATATTCAATAAAGAAAAAATAATTATTATAATATAATAAATAATTAAAGTAATTAAAAAAGGATAGATATTACTTAATGACATATATATTAAATTAAAGAAGTTGGGCAAAACATAAAAGTAAAGAAACTAATTTTATATTTTAAAAATAAATAAAAAGTAATGAAACTCATTTATTTCAACATAGTGCCCTTTTTAGTTATTATACACAACTCACAACACTTTCATAAAAAAAAAATTACCAAACACTTAGAAACTAATTATTGTACCAACATCACTTTTAATAAAATGTTTACCAAACATCAAACTGCTTTCTCTCATAGAAAATCTGACGGCGATTATTTTCACAGCACAGTAATGCCAAAATGGCCCATAATTACACCTATGTAAGTCACTTTGTCTTATTTTGCCTTTTAAAAGTAGCTTCTCCGTCCCAACAAATAAAAAAGTAGCTTCTAACCAAGGTGGTTGGTGTGAGTGGTTCGGCACTCTCATTCCTTAAGAGAGGTCAGGGGTTCGATCCCTGCTCTCGTATGGAGTCACCACTTTGGCCAGCACTTTACCCCT